CCATACCAAGATAGCCTATCCCAAAAGACTCCATCCGAAGCATACCAAGATATCCCATCCCAAAAGACTCCATCCCAAGCAACCCCAAACCAAGATATCCCATCCCAAAAGACTCCATCCCAAGAAACTCCATACCAAGATATTCTATCTCAAAAGACCTCATCTCAAGAAACTCCATACCAAGATACACTAACTCTAGACATACCATCCCAAGACACTCAAGCTGTAGAGACTCCATCACAAGAGATTCCCTCTCAAGATACTACATCCCAGGATATGAAATACCAAGATCTACTGTCTCAAGACAAACTATCCCAGAGCACACAAACCCAGGATTCAGCACCCCATGACATGTCATTCTCAGATCTTCAAGTATCAAACACTCAAGTTCAAAGCCAGCCATATCCAGAAATAATTTATAGGGACATTCGAACAGAAGTAATGGAGTTGACTCAAGAATGGAAGTCTGATACAGGCAAGAAAACCCCAAGAAGACTTTCCTTATCCTTGAAAGGCACACATGAAAAAGTCTATCCCAAGAGACATTCCCTGGATCTGCAAATCAAAGGTGACAAACCCCCAAGGAGACATTCTGTAGACTTACAAAGGAAAACTTCAAGACGGAAATCCATAGATCAGCAAATCAAAGCCTGGCTATCCCCAAAGAAGCACACCTCAGAGAAACAAGATGCATGTACTCAAACCTCAGAGCAATTCCTAGAGCAAGCTGGTCAGCAGCAGGCAGATGAGGAGGAGGTCCCAGTACAAGAATCCCAAGATCAGCAAAGCAAAGACCAAAAATCTGTAGAGGAACTATACCCAGAAGAACAGCTTAGTAACAAAGAGGAAGAAGATCAGGAGTCTAATAAAGAGCAACCTCCAGAAGAACAAGCTCAAGTTCAACAAGCTGAAGACCAGCAGCCCCAAGAGCAGAAAGCCCCAAAGAGCCAGTCCTCAAACTGGCAACAAAGACAACAAGTGCTAGTAAGGAGAGTCCCAATGCAGTCGTGTGAGGACTGGGACTCCCAAAGCTTTCAGTTCACAGAAAAGTCATGTTCATACTGGTCAACTTCATCCTGGCAGCCTGCTAGCCTGGGATCCCAAGACTGGAGAAGTCAAGGCTGGAGAAACAAAGATTGGAAAGCACAAGAATGGCAGTTCGAAATACATCCTTCCCTAGACTGGGAATCCCAAGAGCTATTAGAGAGAGAATCCTTAAGGCAAAGGGCACTATACCAAGAAATCCAACCCCGCAGCACCATAGTCCGATACACCCAAGATCATCAATTGCGTAACTTTATATTTCAAGTAGGTCTGTGTCAAGGTAACGACCAACAAGACTCTGAAGCTAGTGTTGTAAGAGGAGATACGTATGCAGATGATGTACAAACAAGAGACAGAGAACCTGGAGACACAGAAGATACATGCCAGAAACCAAAAGATGAGCAGTCAGAAGACATGAGGCCAGATAATTATCCTGCTTCTTGTCAGAGCCTGGTTCCATACACATATGTAACCTGTTTATCCAATATAGCTTCAGAGCAAGAGGTGCAGAACAGTACATCACCCCGTTCAAATTCATCCAAAGATCTGAATGCTACTTCTTCCTCATGTTGTCAGAGAGATCAACCTCAATCTGAAGATTCAGACTAACATGCATATCTAACCAAAAACCACAGATCCCAGATAATGGAGCCAGATGAGGATGAAGTGGTTGATTTCCCCCTAACCTGTCTTCTCACCTGTGCTTGCTGTCTAATTCACTCACCAGAGTAAAGGGCATGCAGGACCTACAAAGAACTCATTCCTTTTAAAAGCAAAATGACAACAAGCCAAATGTTAAGACTATATCAAAACCTTCTGGGAGTGAAGAAATAAATGTCATCTAAGCTGTAAAACTTTTGTCATCAATTTTAGTATTTCAATGTATGATCGTCAATTCATCTCACACCTTATTACTAAATGGATCTATTTCCCCATAATGCTAATATTTTTTTCTCCCCACATTTGTGTTGAAGATATGTGCACCAGGTTTGGTGTCCAACACTTGGTGAAAGAGAAAGCATAGCTAGAGATGGAAGAGTAGAAGTCAGGAAAGGGTGGCCATGTGCATATTATAATAGAAAATACGGCAAAGTGGACTGTACTGAAAGAAGCTGCAGCTCTCGCTCTCACACACCTGCACTCACAGCTTTGTAAGTATTGGGAGCCAATTGCACCTTCTCTGGCCAAATGAATTGTGTTAAAAACTGTCAGTTACTCTCTGTCTTCCAAGCCAACCACAGTTTTTGAATTTTTTATAAATATTTTTATTTTATAATTAATTTAATTTTACATATCAGCCACGGATTCCCCTGTCCTCCCTCCTCCCACCCCCCCATTCCCACCTCCTCCAAGGCAAGGTCTCCCCTGGGGAGTCAGCCCAGCCTGGTAGATTTAGTTGAGGTAGGTCCAGTCCCCTCCTACCTGCACCAAGGGTGAGAAAAATGTCTCAGCATAGGCCCTAGGTTCCAAAAAGCCAGCTCATGCACCAAGAACAGGTCCTGGTTCCAATGCCTGGGGGCCTCCTAAACAGTTCAAGCTTATCAACTGTCTCACTTATCCAGAGGACCTGGTCCAGTTCCATGGGGGCTCCTCAGCTATTGATTCACAGTTCATGTGTTTCTGCTAGTTTGGCTATTTGTTCTTGTGCTTTTTCCAATCATGGTCTCAATATCTCTTGCTCATATAATCCCTCCTCTCTCTCGCCAATTGGACTCTTCGAATTCTTTTTCTCTTTGATGTCTTTGATAAAATCTTGATTTTCTGTCAGCTCTGATGCTTTGCATTTTACTAGGCTGCACAGTGTTTCCTTTCCATGTATGTGTACCTGAACTTTCTAATCTGTAAATACAGAACCCCCAAGAACAAACATGGAAATAGATATTAAGGGTAAGAGCTAATTTTGGAAGCACATAATGTTGGATCTCGGGTACTTCTTATGTAGTCTAACAAGCTTCCTGAGCCACTATAAAGTTGGGGCCTGTGGTCAGTTAAGTCCAGTTAGAATACAGAAAAAATGACAGTGGGTACAGTCATGTCCTGATGAGAAGGATTGTCTGACACAGCAACTCCTTCAGAAAAGGCCATCATAGTTTTTTCAGGCAAGGGATTATTCATACAGATAGCCAGGCCCCATTGGGGACAGAGAGACCTCCTTCCCTGAAAATGATAGACTCGTCAGAATTTAGGGTCCAGTGTTTTCAGATTTGCAAAGTCTTGTTGTACTTAGCCATTCCAACTTTAGAATCACACTTGCTCTTACCAATGTCCCTGCTTCAACAGCAATGTTGCTGAAGAACAGAGAATTCACCTTGCATTGTAATCCAGCCAGTTGCTAAATGAGATTCTGCACTTAGTTTCCAGCAACTTTAACTCTGTAGCTACAGATGAGAAGAGGATCCTTCAGAACACACAGCAATGGGTCCTGTCTACTGTGCTTGGTCTAGGAACCCAAATCCCCGAGCTCCTCCCTTTCTTTCCCTACTTTGCCCAGAAAAAAAAAAAAAAGCAAAAACTACAAACGTGGCAGCAATCAACTTCACTATATTTGTGCACTCTGAAAATCTTAGACCAAAAATTGTATTGTCATAGATGTCTGCATGAACAAATCATTATTAGATGACAAATAGGTGATAGATGATGTTTTATAGTATTAATCAAATTATCTCTTTGCTTTGAACTGAAATATCCTACCTCTAAATTCTAATGTGAAAGTCCTAAGTCCTAATGTGATAACATTGGAAATAGAGCTTTTGAAGATACTAGGTTCAGATGAAAATAGAGGAGTGTGACCTTCATGGTGGGAATAGTACCCTTCTACAATGGTACGTGCCTACAATTCCAGCATTCAAGAGTATGAAGAAGAATTGTGAGTTCAAAGCCAGCCAGAGCTAGTGAGCTTAAAGCCAACTTGGACTATATTGTGAAACTCTTTCACACATACACACACACACACAGAGGTGGGGGGGAGAGAGAGACAGAGACACAGACAGACAGACAGAGACACAGAGAGAAAGGGATACAGAAAGAGACAGAGACAAAGATACAGAGGCAGAGAGACAAAGGGGGAGGGAAAGAGAGAGAGTGGGAGGGAGGAAGGAAGGTGAGAGAAAGAGTGTACATAAAGATCTAAGGAAATGTCATATAAAGGCATCAGAAGAAATCAGCCACCTGAATGCCAAGAAGAGAGACATCATGAAAAACTAAGTTTGCAGGTATAAGAACAATTGTTTATAGACTGTTGTTAGGGATTATGCTGGTTTAACAAATTAGGGGTCTTAGATAACCCTCCAATAACCATGATTTCACCAACACTGAAAACTAGATTCCTGGTGCCAGGCATGGTTTCTCTCCTGTATAATGGGTTTCAGTATAACTATAGAGCTTTTGTTTTCCACCAAGATTTGTGTGACACTATTACACCCTTAGGGTTATCGTGCCATGCTGGTTGATGCGCTTCATAGGCATCATGGGTGGGTAGAGCTGTTGGTTGCCTCCCTCTTTTGGAAGCTTGCATCGTACCTTCTGGCACCATGAAAACTAGGCCTCAGGGAGGGGACATTCAAGTTAGTTCCACATTACAGACAAGCGTAGTCTTCACCCCACATCAAAGAAACTTTGCACAGACTGAGACCACTACAGAAAACCACAATGACTCAAAAGCACAGGTTTGTAGAGCACAGTATTAGTGGAAATATACACAAACCAAAACCACACATAAAGTTCAGGGAACACTGTGGAAGAGGGGGCAGAGAGATTATAAGAGGCACAAAATCAAGGAGTTTTCTGTGAGATTGTGTCATGTAATAACATCAGAACATGTATCCATAAAGTCTTACCAACATGATTGCCCAAACATCAACTGAAGGAGGATGACACCAGTTGACATGCCAGACTGGATGAGGAAAAGCCCATGATCCCTCAATCCTACACAAAGACTACAGGCAACTGAGGAAAGCTGGGAGTGGGAGGTCTTTGCCAGAGAAGGGCACACCAAATGGCTGTCTAGTGACAAGTAGTTAGTCAGGAAAGCATATACATACAAACAACATTATAAAGACTAAGCAGGTTATATTTAGAAATATATGTGTATTTATTCACAGTGAAAAAAGAAACCATGAATTTGAAGGAGAGCAAGGAGGGGTATATGGAAGAGATTGGAGGGAGTAAAGGGGAGACATGTTGTAATTATATTAATCTAAAAAAGTTAAAAATCTAAGTTTGATGGCACCCAGATTTAATATTTTCCACTTTCTAGAATCATAAATGAAATTGTGTTGTTTAAATCCCCCAACCTCAGGCACATGGTTATGGCAGCCCAAACATACTAACACAAACCTTTTATATTTCTTCTTATATGGTAGAAAGAGCAAAGATATTTTAAAAAAATCATCTGACCTCATGAATCAAATACCATTTTGTCTCTGACAGAAAAATCCCTGGTAGTCAAAAAGGGAACACTATATAGAGAGAGGCTGTGTGGACATACTGATGTGCCAATGAATAGGAATTAGAGAGTGTAAGTCAGAAGATACATCCAATGGGAACTCCCTAGTGCCTGCTCTTGTGGGCTCTATAAAAATGTTTGCAATCTTTATTTTAAAATTGTCTATACATCTTGAGATGCTGCATCATTACTGCTTGAAGGTAATGAGGACTCAGGACCGTGACAACACAGTGGGGAAGAGATGTCCATAAAAATCAAGACAGCAGCCCAGGACAACTCAGCAAGAGAGAAACACCAGCTGCTTTTTCCCTCTCATGTCTCCTTGTTACTCCCCAAGACAGCTGAAAATATTAGGAGAAATAATGGATTTTTCACTGCCCTTCATGGAATAAGGTCCAGAGTCGGTGTTTATAATTTAAATATCAAATGACTCCCAGAAGATTTGCAGGCCCCCAGGCAGAGGACACCTGTCACTGTCCTGCTCTCTGTGGTTGGATATGGGTCTTTGGAAGGAGAGCAGTTTTCAATATAAAGACAAGATATTTCAAAACAAAGAAAAATAAGTTTCATCTACGGTATGATATAAATGAAAGGACTTGGGAGACTTTCTTACAACCACCCAGAAAGGGACTCAGAGAAGAAGCCTTGAACTTGGTCTGACCACTTGCATCATCATAACTTCCCAAGAAGATAAAACTTCCCAGCAAGATAAAATAAAGGTGTTGTAGTTTGAATGTAATTGTACCCCATAAGCTCATAGAGAATGGCACTATTGGGAGGTGTGGCCTTGTTGAAGTAGGTGTAGCCTTATTGGAGGAAGTGTGTCACTGTGGGGGCAGGCTTTGAGGTCCCTTTTGCTCAGTGTGACAGATAGACCATTTCCTGTTGCCCACAAGATTAGGACTCTCAGCTACTTCTCCAGCACCATGTCTGCCTGCATGCCACCATGTTCCCTGCCCTGATGATAATGGACTGAACCTCTGAAACTGTAAGCGAGCTACCCCACCTTGGTCATGGTGTCTCTTCACAGCAATAGAAACCCTAACTATGACAAAAGGTTTGATTTGGGAACATTAAGGCCTACAAGATAGTATCCAATCATTCATAAACCACTTTAAGATTAGAGGGCCTCCCAGCTAAGACTCCTGGCAGTAGTGGATGCAGAGCCTAGACTGGCCATCCCCTATGATCAGATTGGTGACTACACCAGTTGTCATCAGAGAGTCTCACCCAGTGACTGATAGAGGCAGATTCCGAGACCCAAACCTTGGGCCAAGCTTGGGGAGTCCTGATGATGAGAGGGAAGAGGGATTGTAGGAGCCAGGAGGGTCAGCGTCATCACAGGAAAATCCACAGAAATGACTAGCCTGGCTCATGGGAACCCAAAGAGTCTGAACCAACAAACCAGGAGCCTGCATGGGACTGACTTGGGCCCTCTGCATATATATGACAGTTGTATAGCTTTGTCTATTTGTGGGACTCCTGGCAATGGGAGCAGGGGCTGTCTCCAGTGCTTTGGTTGGCTCTTGGGAACCTATTCCTCATATTGGATTGCCTTGCCCAGCCTGCATACAGGGGGAGGTGCTTGGTCTTACAAGCACTTGGATATGTCATGCTTTGTTGATGACCATGGGAGGCCTGCCCCTTTCTGAGAGAGGGGTGGATTGAGGGAGGGCAGAGGGGAGGGGAGGAAGGAGTGGAGGAGAGGAGGTTGTGGTTGGGATGTAAAAATAAATAGATTAATTAAATTAAAAAAATTAGAGGGCCTCTCATGAAAAGATGAGATTTTGTAATGTCAGGAAATAAGGTATGTAAGAATATATGAAGCTTTTTAAGGCTATGATCAGCTATGCCATTCATGTGTGAACACAACTGAGATGTCTATTAGCAAGCAACTGCCGACAATGGAGAAATACAAGACAATAACATATGTAGTAACTCAGTGTGGTACTGCCGAGGTTCTTATGGTTAAGCTCATAAATACATATTCAGCTGATAAAGAAATAGCCAAAATGAACTATGGAAGTAAAGTGAGACAAAATATTTGATCGTCATGGTCAGAACAGAAATAATATAAGAAGTAATGCTGCCTGATAGCATTTTCTTATTATTACTAAAATTTATTTATATACCAAGAACATAATTCACTCAAAACAGCCTTATTATATAATCATTACTCCAAATAAGACATGTCATGTTTCAATAAATATATAAACTAATATGAACACAGAAGTTAGTAACTTTATCTTGACCCTAGAACTAGTAAATAAACTTGAGAATGAGACATAGAACTGGTCATTGGATACATGTTTGAAATTCTCAAAGAAAAAAACAATCTATTTTTAAAAAGGCTTAGGATTAATTCTAGATTTTCATGCTCCAAGGATTTAATTCTGTGGTGCATCATGAGAAGTGGCTTGGATAAAATAAAACATAATAAACAAGTTATTTCCCCACTTACCAAGCAGTTATAAGAATGTTACCATGCTTGGGAGAAAAACAGAGAAACTTGAAAAAGCCTATAGCAAAGCTAAAACATGGGCAATAAACAAAGTTCATATAGTCCATTACAACTAAGCCGTTACATTGGCCCAAAGATTACTTAACTCAAAAGAAATGAATTAAATACCCGATGATTTTCATGAAGGATAACCATCAGCAGGAATCCACATTCACTTAAGCTGAATGTGACAAAGGTCCACTCAAAATAGAAACTATGCTATATGGATGTAATCGACTAGTAAGATGCTGGTCTTGACAAAAAATTCAATGAAGGTATGAGATCAATAGAATAATAGAGCATGACCCCCCCCACACACACACACACCTTAAAAAAATAAACAATTCTTTTTTTTTTTTTTGCTCACTTATGTCCTTGCAGTTTTACATGCCAGATCCACTAATGAAGTAGTCTATTTCTATTTATCACTTGAGTCTAAACTGCCTACAGAATTTAGGTTAATGAATGGGACACTAGCAAATGACTCAGAAGAAGTCTGAAGAGCAATATTGTCCTGAAAAAAGTCTCCAACTATCAGATGCATGACTGATGTCATCCTCACTCATTTAACCCTACACAATCTACTAGTGGACCAAAGATGTATGAGAAAACTTGGCGAGGATTAATAGAACAGTACCAGCAGTGTAAGTGGCAGAGTGTCCACAAAATCAAATTGTAGTTATTTGAAGCCACTATGCTTTGGGGTGGTTTATAACATAAAGCTACTAAAATGAGGTTGCAAAAATTATCTTTTAAGTGACAGGCAACATGCATAAGGTGTGTGCTTAAAAAATTGACTAGTTAATTCTAAGGTCTGAAAGGTTTTGTCCTCTCTACATCTGAAATGGAAGAACTGGAAATTTGGGAACTAAAAGATTTCACAGGTTAATATATATATGAGGAAGTTGTAAAAACAGAGGACTATGTGACTTGCCCAAGGACATAGTGTTTTCTGACCAAATCAAGACCACTAGTCAGCTTCTCCAATCCAACACACAGATGTGGGCACTTTAACTCATATCTTTGGGCTCTTGACCATTCCTGAGATTCTATGACTCTGTGACTTGATGGTTCTATAATTCTAAGCCAAAGTACAACAATGCCAGTGCTCTAGCCAGCCTCAGTACAGGAAACAAACATGGTCTAAATGGGAGTACCAGCTAAATCCTTTTCTTTCACTTGAAGAGACCAACTGTACCATCATGGATTCAAACAATATGCACAGTCCTGTGTTCCTGGTGCTTCCTCCAGAAGTTACCAGTCAAGAATACCAAGCAACAGGACTTACAGCCACAGCCTATGACTCCCAAAAACGAGTGCAGAAAATCCTTATTAGAAAATTGAAGATTTTAGGGGTAAGTAAAATGTGTCCCTCTGCATATTCTACACTGGGTGGAGGGGACGGGGGGAGTAAGAAAGTATCTGGTGGCACACATTCTCCAATAGGAATAAACTCAATTAAGGAAGTGTGGGTTGGACTTCTATATAAATTATGCACAAGATTCTGTGAATATAAAAACACAAGATGAATAAATTCAATGTTCCTGGACTCTTAAAAACCACAGCCTCCAAACTAACCATCTTTGAGGTTTTTCTAGTCAGTTTCAGAGAGAAAAAGGAAAAATGGCAATCAAGAAGTTAAGCTAGATTTTCTATCAGCATACTGCAACATGTAATTTTATACCTTCTCAAAGCTCAGAACTCACAGCTTTATATAACATGCACATTATAGGCTTATTTATGCATATAAGTATAAAGATTTTTAGAATAGCCTCTTTTTCATTTTTTAAATTAAAAATATAAGTACATCATCTCCCTCCAACCTACTTTATGCTCCCTCCCTCACTGTTCTCTCTGAAAACTGTGGTCTCTTTTTATTTGTTATTGTTACATATATGTATAATACACAAATACATAAATACAACCTACTGATTCTGATAGTGTTGCTGACCACTTGTACTTGGATAATCAATTCACAGAGGTGGGAGTATGCTTATCCCTAGAAAAGACTTATTCTCCCTTTCTCAGAAGTCCTTAGTTGCCTGTAGTTCTTTGTCTAGAGGTAGGGTCCTGGCAAACATTCGTTTCTCCATCAATCAACTCATTCATTCTACAAATACTAATTTTATTTACCAAACTTTTCTTAAGACAATGGGCAGGTGAGAGGTAGTCAGGTATATTTGAGGTTGTAATGTCACCAATATCTTTGAGAATATGCTGTCCTTTGAACTCCAACCTCCCAGAATGGAAAATAGAAAATAATCTTTTTCTGAAAAAAAAAAAAAACAGAAATAAGAAAGACCATCCTGTGGCACGTGGAAGACCACTAGTGCACTCTGCTTCAGCATCTCTTCAAATACGATGGAGTCCAATCTCGAATGAAATAGTTTATAATACTTTAACAGAAATGGAACTAGGTGCGAGCAACTATGTTAGCTTCTGTACTCACAGAAACAAATACAAGCTAGTTATTCCTCACTGAGGCAAAGAAAGGTGTCATTCAAACACAATAATAGCATGAAAATATTGAGAATAATATTTCAATGGAGCATGTAGGAAGAGCATAAATGGTGATAATGAGAGTGGGAGCCCCAGAGTTGGAACAGTCATCACCAATGAAAAGGGGATGAGCACATTTCACAATGAAGTGGACATTGAACCCAGACTCTGATGAAATAATGTAAGTTCAACAAATATACATGAAGGGGGGAAGCAGAAGCCAGCTAGCATAGGGAGGGGTGGTAGAGGAGAGCTGGGAGGGGTCAATCTAGGCCTAAAAGATTTAAGAAGACTAAAAATAAAAAGAATTAATCTGTCTGATAAATTAGTCATGATATACCCATACAGAACAACAGTGTTCTGTAGTACAAGAAATAAGCTAACAAGCCAAGAGGAAGCATAAAGAATCTCATTTTCATATTGTTAAGTGAAAGAAGACAACGAGTGCTTCAGGTGATGATAGACAATGGAGGACTCTCTCTACAAATTCACCAACATGTGGGAAAAACATAAAAGTTATGAAATAAGCACCCCAATGTTTCCCACAACAGGAAAATGGGATCAAAATCAAATACGTGTGTTTTTGTAATTCCTCTATCAGATTGCTAGTTTATATTTTACCTGTATTTATTTGTTGTTGTGCATATATGGTCACATGCATGCCACAGCAAATGTGTGGAGGTCAGAGAAGAACTTTCAGGAGTCCACTCTCTCCTTCCACCACACACGTTCCAGGGACCGAACTCAGATTGTCCTGCTTGGTGCCAGGCACCTTTACCTGCTGAGCCATCTTGCTAGCTGAAGTATGTATGATTTTACAAGATGAGATAATAGGAAAAGTTAGCTACTTTGGGATTGTTGCAATCAGGGAACTTGAAAAGGACAGGTGACCTGATGGCCCCAGGCCTAAAAGGATGACAGCACCAACAAAGAAGTCAGAAAATCAGGCTTAGAGGGGGAAAGCAAGCCCATTTTAGGACACATGGAATATGAGTTGGTAGTGGGACATTCAAGAGGGATAGTCATCCAGATGTGATATGCATACCATACCTCTTAGGATTTAGCCACCAAATGTTGGTACTGCAGCAAAAGAGCTCACCCAGACTGAGGAAGTACAGCAAAAAGACAACAGGGGACATAATCCCTGGGTCATACACCTTCTGTTCTTCTTGTCATTCTTGCCAGGCTTCTTTAGCACCCCTGGGCCCCCTGCCTAGCATTCACAGTATGTCCAGAATGTGCCTTACAAGCATAGCACAGGGAGAATGAAGAACAACCTATGAGGAAACCTCCAGGCCTGGGGATACAGCCCTGCTTCAGAAGGCTCAAAGGATTACTCACCTCCAAGAGGATTTTCCTGAGTGTCCCCTGAGGCCAAACTGGTTCAGTAATTTAAAGTCGACATTCGCATGCATGTGCTGAAGAACTGGGGGCTTTAGTAATAAGCGAGTGGGGCCTGAGAGCTTCCTCTCATAGCATCAGCTGACCTTGAGCTTGGGAGCAGTGGGACAGACTCATTTTCCTCTTAGTAATTATCAGATGGAGGGATTAAGAAAACACAAGGAATATTGAAGAGGGACATCCATTATCCTTCCCCAGACTATAAAGAGGGTAACCGCCAAATCCTGGCAGTAAAGATGTAAGCGGAATGGGCTCCACCCCCGCGCTTCTGCTGAGCTGACTTTCCCTTCTATTGCAGACCGCCCAGATCCTGTTTGGAATCATGAACTTTTCGTTCGGAGTTGTTTTCCTTTTCACCTTGGTAAACCCATACCCAAGGTTTCCTTTTATATTTATCTCAGGATATCCATTTTGGGGCTCTGCTTTGGTGAGTTTAGTGCATTTAGTTCAATTTAAAGGCATGTCAACCAGGCAATGTGTTAGTGAATGGATTCTTAGTTATGAAACAAGATAGGTTTGGGTATATGATTCTGTAGAAATGCCACAAAGACATTAACCCCATCGCGACTACTTCTATCCTCCACTGAATCACCAGAATTGGTGGTAGCCCATCTTTGGGTCTTGAAATTTGGAGGGACTATTTATTTGGATTTTATGATTGTTTATTGGTCCATCAATTCATCCAAAATTTCTCGCAATACATGATAAACTGTATTCACAGAGCAAGACAATGAGGATCCAAATTTTAGTACAGTGGTTATCCTCCAATGGACATTCAGTCTAATAAGAATGAAACCATGCCAAGAGATCAGCATACTTCTTATACCTATGTGATACTGCTTCTGATGCTGATATGCTAGCGGTTTGCTCTGCAGAAAGTAAAGGAGGGACAGGGACAGCTCCTGCATGTGCCTTCTGAGCCACAAAGAGAAGCTTATTTAATCACATGTAGTCCTCGTTGACTTTGCACCTGCTTAGCATCAGAGACTGGGTAGAGTGTGGGATTCAGTAGAAGGCAGTCCCTGGTCACAAGTCCTCATACCATAGGGTATGACAAGTATTTGGCAGAGGACACAAAAGCTGCTAGAGGAAAGGCATCTGAGTGTAAAGGAAACTGTGCAGAGTTATTTCCAGCTGGTCTATGGCTTAAGGATGAGGGGTTGTTTAATTAGGTGAAAAGCATATTCAAAAGATGGGAACAGAGGGTGTCTGGGTATAAAGGGAGGGAGGTTTCATTATCTGTCTGATGGTCTAGGAGAGCATCCACTACTAATGGGGCTGAAAGAAGAGGATAAAAATTTAAACATAGCAGGGTTGAACTCAGATTGTAAGTTTCTACTGGACAATGAGGCTGCCATATTTGACCCACCTCCACAAAAATGAATGTGTGTGATATCTTCCTTTTTACCTTCCTCCCCCCTTCCTTCCTTCCTTCCTTCCTTCCTTCCTTCCTTCCTTCCTTCCTTCCTTCCTTTCTTTCTTTCTTTCTTTCTTTCTTTCTTTCTTTCTTTCTTTCTTTTTTCTTCCTTCCTTCCTGTCTTCCTTTCTTCTCTCTCTTTCTCCAGTCTGTTGACTGAAATCATACCTAGTGTTCCCATACAACAGAACACACTGATTGTACTATAATGACTCTGCAACCTTAGTATTCATAAACTGATGACACTGGTATCATTTGGTAGCTGAGTCATAGTTATCAATAACAGGAGAATGGATGAGGAAATAAAAGTCCAGTAAAAACATCCTCTTCTTCAAACAGGTGGCTCAGACTAAAGCAGATCTAGCCTTTTTGTTCTCTGTTCTGTGGACAGCCATGTGAGGTGGCTCACCCACCTCACTCCCTTGGGGTTTCTGCGACCTTAGGAGGGAGGCATAGGGAAGAAATGGCCAGAGACCTGACTGAGAAACCCTCCACATCAGCTTCCTGTGTCCATCATTAAAACATTTATTCTTTATTTATTTGTTTGTGTAGTTCATTAACTCTGGAGCCTTTCTGATTGCACTGAAGAGAAAAACTACGAACACTCTGGTGAGTTCTATTTCTACCTTATAAAAATTTTAATGGCTAAGTAATTGCCTGGCTTTGGAAATCATCATATAATCAGAAACCATTAGTCATCAGGAGACTTTTCCAGGTTATCATGTTTGAGTCTCATATTCTACATGAAGACACTGAGGCGCAGAACAGTTCAATGACTCGACCATGGTCTCTGGTCGTTAATGCAGATTCGGTCTCAGTAATCTAGTTATTCATTCATTTTTTTTGTTTTTTGTTTTTCAAGACAGGGTTTCTCTGTGTAGCTTTGCGCCTTTCCTGGATCTCGCTCTGTAGACCAGGCTGGCCTCGAACTCACAAAGATCCGCCTGGCTCTGCCTCCCGAGTCCTGGGATTAAAGGCGTGTGCCACCACCGCCCGGCTTCATTCATTCTTTTTATAAGTAGTTTTGGTGCCTACTGCACACCAGATGCTTTACCAGGAAAAGCACAATGTAGACAACCCAATTAAACCATAAATGGACTCCAGAGGTAAAGAATACATTGATGATCTATATAAATTTGTAGGAGTAGAATATTCTATCTCACTCAAAGAAACAAAGACATTAGATAGTAATTAATAAGTCAGTAAGTTATTTGGATCAAAAAACATTGGAAAATTTTATAATTTTAAAATGTGCTTACTTTTATTTATCAGGTATGTGTCGGGGGGTGGGGGGGCATGTCCATGCCACAGTGTACCTGTGGAAGCCACATTGTACCTGTGGAAGTCACAGTGTACCTGTGGAAGTCACAGTATACCTGTGGAAGCCACAGTGTACCTGTGGAAGGCACAGTGTACCTGTGGAAGCCACAGGGTACCTGTGGAAGTCGCAGTATACCTGTGGAAGCCACAGTGTACCTGTGGAAGTCGCAGTGTACCTGTGGAAGTCGCAGTGTACCTGTGGAAGTCACAGTGTACCTGTGGAAGCCGCATTGTACCTGTGGAAGTCGCAGTGTACCTGTGGAAGCCACAGTGTACCTGTGGAAGCCACAGGGTACCTGTGGAAGTCGCAGTGTACCTGTGGAAGTCAGAAGACGGCTATCAGGAGCTGGTTCTCTCCTTCCACGGTGTGGGTCCAGGGATGGAACTCTGGTTGTCAGGTGGCAAGTACCTTTATCTGCTGAGCCATCTCACCAGCCCTAAAAGTTTGTAATTTTAGGAAGATATAAAAGTGACAGAGAAATGCAGTGTTTGGTTAAATACGGTTTTTAAATGAACATTTAAACAGGCCATAGCTACCTCTATTTGAATGGAAGTTAACCCAGGCCCAGAATGTGAGAGATGGAGAGGTTATCAAAGGCTGGCTAACTTCCCCATTCACTGTGGGTGAATGTCTAAAGATGTATTATGAGTGGTAAATGTTTTTAAATGATCACATGGTGGCTTCTTGGTGTTGTGACTAATCCAGCTCTCCAGTACTCACCCACCCCACACTGCTCTGTTTGTGGCACAAGGTAGGCCTGAGTCTTGTGTTATGTTCTGATTCTATTGCAGATAAAAATGAGCCAGGTGATGAATTTACTTAGTGCCCTGGGAGCAGCAGCTGGAATCATTCTCCTCATATTTGGTTTCCTTCTAGATGAAGAATTCATCTGTGGCTATTCTCCAGATGCTATTCAATGTGGTCCTATTACTGTTCTATTCCTTGTAAGTACCCTGTGCCATTTCTAGAGTGAGAAGCCAATGGTTTAAACAAAAAAAATAGCACCCAGTCAGCACCATCCAGACAATATTATAGGCACCTGTGTATTTCCTTTTGCTCAAAACATCCAAGAGTCCACTATACTAGACCAACATTATGTCAGACATTGTGGAGTAGAACAATGAACAGTCAACAACTTATAAAAGGTATAAAACATGCAAGTAAACTAAGGATAATAAAAAGAGAAAGTGACACTAAAGGATAGAGGCATAGTGGTATGCTTGTGGTTCAAAGTTGCCAATATATATTATAATTGTGTTTTTGGTTTTAATATTTAGATTATATTTCTGATAAAGTATGGTAAACTGAAAATAGACATTTCTGCTCTGTCCAAACTACTGCAGTAATTGGTGTAAAATAATGTAAAAGGTATGAGTGAATCTATATAGAAATAAAATGATAATCAAGTAGGCACATTAAAGACTGCTAACATGGCTAACTTCATTATAGAGTGCATGCTTAGTCAAGATGGGGCAATAGTTTGGATCCTAGTGCCCCCCAAAAATTGCTGAAGAAGTTCAAAACTACCTAAGAGAATGTAGCTCAGGTAAAAGAGAGCTGTTCTAAGATAGTGTGTGGTGTGATTAGGTGCAATAGGACCCCCAAAATCAGGGGAGGGGAACAGAAAAGAGGGAACTTATCCTGGTCATGCTGAGTAGAACTTTTCAAATCATCCCTTCTCTGAAAAAGAAGTACTATATATAAAACACACAAAACAAAACTCACTCAAAGATATTTAAAAACCTTAAAAGTCTGCTATTCACAAACTAGAAGTTTGTAAGAGAAAAGTTTAGGACTTGGAATTTCTAAACAGAATATTAAAGAACACAGAAGCTGCTTACATGTCACAGTTGTGTGCCAGTGTTGGCCTTCTGCAATATAATTATGAGAAAGACATGGAGGCCATTGTCCACTCAAGGTCTACAGTGACCTAGGCCCTCAATAGGCTTCTTAGCCTTCGGGTAAGGATAAGACAAAGTGTCGTGCAGTAAAGTGGTACAGAGGACTGCCTGAATAAGGTGAATACAGAAAAAAAATACTCATGAAATTGTAGTAACAAACCAAATTTCTGACTTCTTCCCACTCCTCAGCCCTGTCCCCACACCCTGAGATTTTAACCTTCAGTAGACACCAACGATATAATCCAAGAATGCTCACAACTTGAACATTTGCTAATGCTAAAGGATATATGGGGATAAATGACCAATAGCTTCTAGAAGCCCTATAACTTTTCCAACTCAAACTGAAAACATGTATAAAAAGAAATGACTCTGTGAATGACAGCTAATAGAAGCAAGATAGACCATGCTCCTTTGCCAATAATCCAATCCAATCTATCATTGTTCTTTGTGATTTTCAGCAAGAGAATATACATACATATAATATTGTATATAACATATTTTATATCTTTATAACATATAGATATGTTTATGTGTGTGTGTGTGTGTGTGTGTGTGTGTATTCAGAGAAGTTGTATACTGAAGCATCAGTGGATAACATCTTACTAAAACCACCACCCACTGTCACCTGTCTACCTCATGTAGTCTCAAACAGTAGTCCTTACGAAATTCCAAAGTAGATGTTCTATAAGACACAACAGCTCATAGGCAGCTCAAACTCCTTGGGATTAGCAACTACATCTTTTCCATTCAAGACTACTGGAGCAAAAGCACCCTCCTTCAAAGTGCCAGTTACCATTAATTGTGGCTTTCTTATTTTCCTATTTTTCCCATACTAGCTCAAGGTTCAAAATAACTAGTAGACAACCTTACTAACATGTGTGACATCACTGTGACAGTGTCTGGCTATTCTGTAAGGCTGAAATTAACCAGGCTCAAACACTAAAAACCCATGAAGATAACTACAGACCAATATAAATATAGATATAAATATCCCCAGTTGAATACAAGCATGTTGAATCTAGTGATATATACACAGGGTCTCCAACTACAACCAGGTATCCTGTATCCTAAGAATGAAATGTATGTTTAAGTAAATCTATGTATTTACTATACTATATCAACAAAACACATGATGGAACTCACATGATATTTGAGTGGAAATAGGAAAAAAAACATTGACTAAATTCATCATTAAATGATAAAAACACTCAACAAGCCATGAATAGAGGAGGAACTCTTCAGTTCAATTAAGTCCATCTGTAAAATTCTTCAACTTGCTTTCTCTCTGTCAAGTCTGATAATTTATTAATCGATGTATTCAGCATCCACCAGGATTCAATCAGAAGCTCCCAGGCTGCAGTCAATGATTAATGAGGAAGTAGGATGGCAAGCAGAGACATGATGAAAAGATGCATCATCATCTGAGATGGCACAGTAAGGAGACAGCATTCATTTACATAAAAGGCACACATAGATTTCATCCCAGTATCTATCTCCACTGCAACTAAGTCACCTGCATATAAACATGTGTTACAAGAACACCACTGCAGCTTTGTTCAGAGTAAAACAAAAAAGAAAAGACAGAAAAGAGAAGGAAATATATCAGCTCCTGTCACAGAAGAGGAAAGTATTGAAATGCTTTACACCATGACATTAGATTAAAAACCAGGTGGCCTTAAATGGTTATTCAACCTATCATAAAGATACAATAAACAAATATAGCATAGAACAGACTGTTAATCACATGAGCCTTTGCAATGGCCATAGAAGGATCCATTCTTGGAAGAGGACAGGCTTCAATCAGCTCTGTGCCAGGGTCCAGCCTGTGGACTTCTGGCCAGGTATGTATGGCTATGTGTACTCTTAGCTAGCATGGTACAATCTATTTTAAAGTCTTCTGAGTGGTGCTTCTAGCCTAGCTTTCTCTCCATGTCTCTTTTTCCATGTGTTACTTTTTTCTGGGGTAGTAGTTTTCTCTTTCCCCCTCTTTTTCTTGCCTTTTCTATTTTTGTCACAACCATTTTCCTATATCTTGGCTTTCTTCTATCTTTGTCCTTCAAGAGACCACTTTTTCGATATGCATTGCTCTGTGGATGTTGTGTCTATGAAATGGAGGATATCCTGAATATAATTTAGCAAATATTCTGTCTAATTTTTCTTTAAGACAATAATGTTATCCTATGCTATTCTGGTATAGCTTATATTCCCATTATCCTTCACTAATTTGAGAAGTAATGGTTTATTATGTGGTAATGGCTACTTCATTGTGATCAGAAAACCCATCACTGTCCTAACATCATGACTCCATTTTCTTTCTGTTGCAGGGGATTTTGGTTATGTTGATGATCTTCAGCATTGCTGAACTGCTTATTTCCCTCTTTTCCTCATTTTTGGGATACACCAAAAATTAATTTGCAGAAGGCTGCTGTTGAATAGCACTGTGCAAGTAAAGATGCAATGTGAGACAGCTTAGAGGCCAGTACTGCGTGTGATAAAGAGCCAACACAAATACATATTTAAAGTTTGTAATTATTTGAAGCAAAGGGGGCTGGGAGCGACTCAAGGGGGATCATTTTGGCCGATGAAACCCATCCTGCATCCCGGCAATGCCACTTCCTCTCCCAACAGAATGATTCCCTCAGTGTAATCACCCTTCTTGTTCTTTGTGGCATGGCCGCTCTATAAGTAAAGAGAGGAACCAAAGCTCAAACTCAGGTGACCACATCATCTGACTGGAAGTCTACACATGACAGTTTCCTGATGAGTCCCCTAAGAGATGCCACACAAGGGCTCCCGCTCCATGAAGCAAGAAGATGAACTGAAAGGAAGAATAGGTCGGTCAGAAACTTTTACCTTGAAGCCACAAGACTGTCAATTGTTATTAGCCAGCTACAAGAGTAGCTACAGCATGCAGGTTAGTTTTTATTTTTAACTTGACACTAACTAAAGATACCCAGGAAGAGAAATGGCCAATTGAGTAATTGCCCAGATAAAGTGACCTGTGGTCATGTTTGGGGCACTGTGATGCTTGACTTGGCAGGTCCATGCCACTATGGGTGGTGACACCCCCCAGCAGGTGGGGGGGAGCTGTATAAAAAAGCTGGCAGGGTGATGGGTCAGAGAGCAGAGTAAGCCGCATCCCTTTGTGGTTTCTGCTCCAGATTGCTGCTTTGAGTCTCGGACCTGACTTCCCTCAGTGATGGACTGTTATCTGAAAGTATAAGCCAGATATAACCCCTTCCTCCCCTAAATTTCTTTTGGCTATAGTATTGACCAAAGCAGCAGAGAAGCAAACTAGGATAATTAATACTCAATAATTAATACTCAAATCAATAATCAACGATGACAAGTATTGGTAGAGTTACTATGGTACAGAGTTTGTACCAAATGGTAAAGCTGCTGCTCCTTTGACCTCACAAAATCCTGAGAAAACTGTTATTGTTACATCTAAACAAGGAGGCTGAGCATGAAAAGGGTAAGATCTGCTCGATGTTACAAAGCTTGCAGTGGTGGGTCCGCATCAACATGCAGTCTGGTTCCACAGCCTGAGAGGTCTCACTCCTCATCTGCCGGTATCTGTCTCTCAAGCTCTTGTTGGGTCTCTGAACTCTTTTACAACCCTTCAAAATTAAAAGTAATTTCATGTTGACAGAAATAATGCCTTCCTAAAACAACTATATTTTCCAAAGTAATGTGAAGAATAGCACTGGCTTTATTTTCAAAACCCCTAAAGAAACAGTTCACAGATTTGGCTGGCTGTGCATTCACATCATCTAAGGAACTTCCAGAATCCCCAGTGCACCATAGGCAAACATATCAATTACATCAGAATATAGTGGGAGCCATGCACTTGATCAGTTTTCTGAGATTTACAGGGGATTCCAATGCAGAGAATCCTGGAAGAGGCTGCTGTAAGACAGCATAGTATATATGGGGGTGGAGGGGCAACAAGATACTCTCTATGACAATTCCCTGCAGTCCATCATGTCTCATGCTCTGCAACCTGTGGAATGTACCAGTAACATCTAGTGAAAGAGCTAAATAAGATCTTAATGTGGGTGCTGGAAAGATGGCTCAAGTTAAGAGAATTCTCTGCTCTTCCACAGTTCGGTTCCCACTATCCACACTGGACAGAGCACAGCTGCCTGTAACTCCAGTTCAGAGGTCTCTTACACCCTCTTCAGGCTCCCATGGCATCTGCAAGCATGTGGTGCACATGCACTCAGGCAGGCACACACACATATACAAATAAATAAAATATAAAATGTTTTAAGGTCCTCATGTTGTTTTGAAAACAAATGACATCATGAGGTTTGCAGGCAAACGAATGGAACTGAGTGAGGTAACCCAGACTCAGGAAGACAAACATGGTATGTACTCACTCATAAGTGGATACTAGATGTAAAGCAGAAGATTACCAGACTGCAACCCACAGCTCCAGGGAGGCTAGCTAGTAAGGAAGACCCTAGGAAAGACACAGGGATCATCCAGCGATAGAGAAACAGATGAGGTCTACAGGAGCAAACTGGGGGTGAGTGGGGGTAATGGAGGGCAAGGGTTGGGGGAAAGAGAGCTTAGGAGAGCAGGAGGTTTGAGCTGGATCAGGAACAGAGTGGGAGAACAAGGAAAGAGATACCATGATAAATGAAGACACCATGGGAATGGGGAGAAGCAGAGTGCTAGGGAGGTCCCCAGGAATCCACAAAAATGACTCCACCATAGACTACTGGCAATGGTCGAGAGGGCGCCTGAACTGACCTACTCTGGTGATCGGATGGCTGAATACCCTGTCATGATAGAACCCTCATCCAGTGACTGATGGAAGCAGGTACAGAGATTTATGGCCAGGTCCCAGGCGGAGCTCCAGGAGTCCAGTCAACAAGAGAGAGGAGGGATTATATGAGCAAGAGATATGGAGACCATGATTGGAAAAAGTACAGTGATAACTAGCCAAACTAGTGGAAACACATGAACTGTGGACCAATAGCTGAGGAGCCCCCATGGTACTGGACTAGGCCCTCTGGATAAGTGAGACAGTTGTTTAGCTTGAACTGTTTAGGGGGACCCCAGGCAGTAGGACTGGGACCTGTCCCTAGTGCATGAGCCAGCTTTTTGGAACCCAGTGCCTATGATGAGACACTTTGCGCAGCCTTGGTGCGGGGAGGAGGGACTTGGACCTGCCTTAACTGAATCTACCAGGATCTGCTGACTCCCCATGGGAGACCTTGCCTTGGAGGAGGTGGGAATGGGGGGTGGGTTGGGGGGGGAAGGCTGGGGAGTGGGAGGAGGAAGGACAAGGGAATCTGAAGTTGATATGTAAAATGAATAGAAAATCTCTTAATAAAATTTAAAGAAATATTTGAACACACATCATAGGACATGATAAAAGTAAGAATCAAAGATGGGAAGAAAAATAAAATTGAGTACCTAAAAGAAAAAATGAACAACTTGATAGGAAAAATGGACCACACTCTTGACTAGACACTTTATAGAATAGAACATCACAAAACCATCCACATATATGAAGATAGGCATTGCCATCAGCGCCATAGGAAGAAAAAACCTAAACCACACTGACATGCCATACTTCTATTTATAAATATTTGTCATAGAAAATGATGAGCTACATGTATGAGGGTGTATATATAGCATTCACTGAAAAGTATGTTCTAAAGATTGAAAGCAATCATGACATTTTATTTAAAACAACACAATTTGTTTAGATTAAAAATAAAAACCAAATTAGAGCCAAAAAAAGAATAAAGCATTGGAATTTATTTCTGGAATCTTCTAGACCCAATAAAGATAATTTTTCCTCGAAAGAAAGGAAGGAAGGAAGGAAAGAAGGAAGGAAGGAAGGAAGGAAGGAAGGGAGGGAGGGAGGGAGGGAGG